ATCGATTACTTTTAAGTACGCTTTGAATTAAAATATTTAGATCAACTTTTGTGGATTTTTAATAATTAATTTTTTAAACACCAATACACCATGCATGGCCGTGGATTGGACGGTAATATATATGGAGGGGGTATTGCACACCTCGTCAGAATAGTTTAGTTTATATTCTTTACTTCTTCTTTTTTTATCGCAAGTATAATTTTTTTTTTTTTTGGTCAAACTCGCAAGTATACTATAATCTATAAATATATATATTCAATCATATGATGTTTTAACTACTATATTGTGAGAAAGGCTAAACAGATCGTCAACTTTCCCTTGCTTGGCATGCTCTCATCTGTCTTTTGGTTTTATTTCTTTGGTACAAATTTTTAAAAAGTTGTCTTACTAAAACATATTCGGCCGCAGTATACCCAATATATATAGCCCTCTTATCCAAAAAGAAAAGAAAAGAAAGGGGTTATATATATAACCCAACTGGCTATTAAAGAAGTTATAAATCTTTAACCAGAGGTGGTGGGCTAGTGGTTCTAGTCTGGTGGAAGAGTGACCCTGTTGGTCTAGGTTAGGGATCGATTCTCTCCAGACGCAGAATTGCTCAGCTTTATCCATTTGGCCACATATGTATGGACCCATTGTTTACGGCCCATTTGAAAACCTGGGGGACCCTACCCGTGGGACACCCTCTCCCCAGGGATTAGTCTTAGACCCCTCCATAGGTCTGGGGATTTACCCTGAATTATAAAAAAAAAAAAAAAAGTTATAAATCCTAATTCTGGGTTAAAAATTCTAAAACATTTCTTTAAATACATATTCCATTCCAATGATATAGAGCTTATTTCAATAAAAAAAAAATTTAGATATCTGTCTGGTACCAAAAAAAAAAAAAAATTCTAGATATCTGTTCAAATCATCACTGTGAAAAGATATAAATTTATTTGACTTTTATATTAGAAGAGCCTTACATAAACGTTTTAGAAATGTGTTTGCAGTGAATCTGAATTTCTAGAAGAAATCGCCAGGGATGTGTTTGAGCAACTCTATCCAACAGAAGAGATTGGGATCCAGTCACTACTAAAGGAGATAGTAGAAAACTATCTATGCAATCAACCATGGGGCATTCGCACTATAGGCATTTTTGGTGAGCCTGGCATCGGAAAGACAACTCTGGCTACAGCCTTCTTTCGCCGAATTTCTCATGGCTATGATGATTCTTGTTTCATCAAAGATTTTCACAAAGAATATACTGAGAAGAGACTTGAGTATTTGCCTCCTAAATACTTGGGTAAAACTTCAATGGAAAAGTTTGACCTAAAAAGTTTTGATTCACAGCCAAGCCACCGCAAGAAGTGGGTTCTTGTTGCTCTAGACGATGTGCAAAATGCTCAAGACGCGAAGTCATTTCTTGGTGGATATGATAAGTTTGGTCCAGGGAGCTTGATCATCATAACTTCCAGAAAGAGAAAAATTCTTGAGCAGTGCCATATGAATAAGATTTATGAGCTAAAAGGTCTAAATGATGAAGATGCTCTAAAGCTGTTTACGAGATGTGCCTTTGGGAACAGAGTGATAGAGCAGAATCTTCTGGATCTTTCAAAGAGAGTGGTTGATAGTTCTGATGGGAACCCAAATACTCTTCGCTCATTTGCCAAGAAGCTCAAGGGCAAGGCAGTGGAAAAAATCAGTTGGACGTTTCCTGATGATTGTGATGTATTCGTTGCCGACGATGTATCTTGTGACACTGAGAAGAACACATATTTGCGCATTGTCCCCTGTGAAGAAGACGATGAAGTACACGAAAATAAGGAGCTCCAGTCAGATCACAATGCGGTTTTGGTATGTAATAGTACTCTTATACCTAAATTATTCCATTTTGTAACATTTTCAAATCTATATGAACTTTGCTGAAAAAGGAAAAAAGTTTTCAAAATAATCTAAAAACAGACTTATGTAATAGAGTCAAATATTAACTAAAATACTGAACTTGTATTTAAAAGTCAGTAATCAAATAACGTACTAATTGACTAGTCGTGATCAGTTGATCATCTCTTATCTTTCTCTTCCATGTTTTTTTCAGGCCACTGGAGATAGCAATACAATAATTCTGACCCCATCCGACTTGTCGGCTGAATGCGAATTTCGATCTTATTCTCAGAAGAACCCTGGATTCGGCCTTTACAACCGCATCTCCAAGTCTCTGCCTAGTAATCTAAAGGTTTACAGATTGGATTATAACTCTCTGATGAGATCCTTGTATGAACACTTACACCAAAAGCATCATGTTCTACTACAAGGGTTTGCTGGTGGACTTCAGAAACGTTGGAAAAGCTTCTCAAACTCGCATGATCACGATCAGCTAGAGCATCATCTCCAACTTCTCCTTAATCTCTCTGGCGGTTGCGTTGTGACCAAAATTTGTCTAGAAGTTGTACGGAAGAATAGAGAATCGAATGGTAAGAACATTAATGGCATCAAACAAATAAGATATGGAAATCCTGAGTTATTGAAGATTAAACTTGATCGAGATCAACCTAATGGCTTGGGTCAATATATATCAAATCAAAATTAATGTTGGACAAAACTTAGCTTAAATTAAAATATAGCATGTATCTAGTTATAATAATTTGTAGAAATCATTATATAACTCATCTTGATTGTTATATATCACTAAGTTGTATAAATATGTAAAATCATTTTGTTTAATATCTACAATGTATATATTAATTGACAAGTGAAAACTGAAAACAACATTTAATTAGTTTGTAAACAGCTACAACTCCATAGTCCATATCTCTTTAACAGGTCCAACAGTACGTACTTTTACTTTTACTGCTAGTTACTTTTACATATGGGTTTGATCGGTTAAGACTTAGATCGATATACAAGTTCCCTTGGTCAAACTTGGCCAATTTCACTAGCTGTCACAGGAGTTGCACGGGACGTACAGAGATTGGTCTATTTCCACCGTACAATGATAAGTGTCTCTTTGTATACTAATATCAATTCTCTCTCACTATGTTTGTTTTGAATGCCGTTAACAGCTAATGGGCCTAACTACTAATTGAGCTTTTAACTTCCTTTTCAGGTTCATCCCATAACTCCAGCATCTATAAAACCAAGAAGATGCTTTGAAACTATTCAGAAGGTATGACTTAGGTCCATGGAGCTTGTTCATCATGATTAAGCTCAGGAGGAAAACAAGTTCTTGACCCATGTTGATGAGACTTATATATGAGCTTCAAGGTCTATATAACAAAGAAGATGATATGAAACTATTCAGAAGGGTGTGACTTTGGTAAAGATGTGGTCAGCATAAGCATTTCGACTTTTCAATGGGAGAGACTGAATGTGCTAATGGGAAACCATTAACTATTTGTGCATATGCCACCAGGATAGAAATGGTAAAATAATTACTGAACATTCACAGTGGATCGAGTCACAACGAATAAGACGATGAACCTAAACTAAATATCGAGCTTCCATTGTCTCACAATGTTGTTTTGGTATTTGATGAGAGAGTTCATCGAATTCTACATGCCACAGTATCAAGCTAGTTAAAGCACAGGAAAGATGGCAAGATTAGTAAATTTAATGAAAAATTTGTCACAACAGATTACAAACCGATGGTTGAGATTCTTATAAAAAGAGACTGGTTACAACAATATTTTGAGCACTTTCTTCACCTCAACGATGCTTTGATATTAATAGAAAACATAACTGGATGTGAAGGAGAAGAAGACATACGCTTCATTGCTTCCTCAGTGACAACAACCTCTTGTTTAAAGCTTTATTTACTCTCCTCTTAGATTGTTGTTTTAAGATTTCATTTGGATTTGATCCTTTGCTCTGTCAGACTCCTTCTCCATACTTAATTGCCTCACCATTGAATTGTCATACTTTGTTCGAGTTGTGTTGTGGTTAGGCTCGTGACCTAAATTCTAACCCTCATTCTAAACAACCAGATCTCCAGTCTTAGGCTTAAAACCAAAACATTAAGCAGCCATAAATTTTGCAGATCATTAGACTTTTTTAAAGTAACTGACGATTCTATTAAAACTGTTATAAGTTGCTGTTGTTGGAGTTGCAATGGGGCAATCATCATCCTCTTCTGCAGTTCTAAAAGAGCTTCTTCGACCTTGTCTCTTGTCCTCTATCCTTGGAGTCACCTTCCAAGATGAGTTCTCAACTTCATCAGGCTCATACACCAAAGAGAAGCCACACTTCATCACCTTGCATTTTGCAACCTCGCTTGTACCATTTGTCACTTGAAATCCAAGGGAAACTTCAGTAGCTGATGGAAACTGTTGATGTTTCTTGATATTAAGCAAAGTGGTGTAGCAAATGAAGATATGGTCTGCCTCAAACGTATGTGTCTCATCGCCTGGTTCGGAAAAACCTCCAACAATGAAACTTTCCGGGCTCAAGGATACATTAGTAAACTCACAGGTGCACTTCACTTGGAGACTGTTGCTTTGGTCTTTGTACCCATTAAACGAGACTACAACACATAGAGCAATCCCGATTAATCTACCTGCATTCCAATGTTGAGGAAGTTTCAGCGTCAAGACTGATCCCAGTGCTTGGTGGTTAAACCATGCAGGTATGTCATATCCCGGAAAGCAAGTACCAATCAAGGATTTGAAGACAAAATCCTGAAAATTAAAGTAACACCAAAAGAAAATTATAAAATGTGGATGTTTAAAGATAGATAATAGAGAATTTGAGAAACAGAGGATTAATACCTGATTATATCGATCAGCTGACATCAACTTGCTTTTTTTCTGAACGTAAGAAATGATAGCATTCTTTGAGACTTGTTCTAGTTCGTAACAGTTAGTGAAAATAAAGGTGGAATGAATCTGCTCTGTTGGTGTAGGAAGGGTTTGCGGACTGGCGACTGTTCTTAGTGAAGTACAACCATGTGCATTTAAGCACTGAAGATTTGGTGGAAGTATGGGAAGAGATATGAGATTCTTACAATACTTTAACTCGAGCCATTTCAGATGGAACATTTGACCCATGTCAAATCGAAGGGTGTGGATATCATCATTCCTGCTTAAGCATAGACGTCGCAGCAAAGATAAGTCATAAATGCTGCCTGGCATCTCTGCTATTGATGTTCCATCAAGAAGTAAAACCCGCAAACTTTCCATTTTCGCTGTAACATCGGGGAAGGGTTTGAGCTTTGAGCAGCGAGAGAGTTTGAGTTCTTGAAGAGATTTAAGCTTCCCAAGACAATCAGGAAGAGTCACCAGATTTTTGCAGTCTATCAAGTTCAATAAGATAAGTCTGTCGAGATTACCAATGGCTGAAGGAAGTCCATTTATCGCAGTGCCGTTTAAGTACAGAGTTTCCAGATGTTCTGAAATCACCTCAAATGTCTGAAATTGTGAGCAGTCGCTGAGAATGAGAGTCTTCAGGGAATCCATAGTTATCTTTGGCAGAGACAAGAGACTTGTGCATCCTCTTAAGTTCAGGAAAACGAGATTCTTCATCTTTTGCATCGCCTCTGGTAACTCTTTCAAACTCGTGCAGCCTTCCAGGTTTAATCTCAAAAGATTTGGTGCTTCTGATAATTCTGACAAGGAACTCAACTTACTCGAGTGACTTAGATCCACCCACTTCAATTTTGGTGTATCCTGTGATGACCAAGCAGAATTGCACCATTAATAATGAAAACTACATAAGCCTAAAATTAGTTTAAACAAGTTGGAGAGATACAAACCTTAACACGATTCCATAAGCTAATAATCTTGCTGTAAGGCAACCTAAGATCAATAAGATCCTTGGGTTCGAATTCTGATGGAAGTTCCTTCCCTGGGAAGTTCATCCAGTCAAGATATCGTATAATATTATTTTTTGGGAACTCAAGTTCATCCGGTAAGTTTAACTTGCACCGAGCTTCACAATGCCTAGGACAAAGAGAATTGTACACTTTAAGGTACCGTAGGCTGCTCATACCAACAAATGTTTGGTTGTCTAAGGGCATTTCCTCCATTTTAGACATGTCTATGACAATTCCTCTAACCTGATCTCTTCCCTGTTCATCAAGTGGAACAAAAACAAGTTATTGCAAGCACATATGAAACTCTGGCAATGTATAAAGTTTAAAACTAGTAACTTCCTTAACTGACCCTTTTCTTTCTCAGTGCATCAGCAGACACTGCAGAATTCGACGACAACATCCAATATTTATTTGTAGTCTCAACAAGTTCCTTGCCCATAGTAAACAATATATCATGAATCTCTACTCGACCATTAGAGATGTGAATCAAGAACTTGTCCACAAGATCTCTAACTTCTTCTCTCCCAGCTTCAGCAGATTTGGGGTCAACAGAATCCAGCAAACTTGTTACATAGCTCTCATCATGTGATCTAAAGAAACAAACAATATCAAGAAACGCTTCCCTCTGCTTCTCATCAAGATCCTTTTCAAAAATGTTTCTCAAGACCTCTCTCATCTCTTCACTGGAAACTCGAGTCAGTGTTCCAAGTCTTTTTTCCCAGCAATCCTCACTCTTCTTCTTAAGCTCCTTACCAAATGCCTCGAGAGCTAATGGGTTACCACCAGCAAAATCCACTATCTTCCTAGACAGCTCCATGAAATTTCCCTCGAGATTACTACAAATTTGAGACCTAAAGAACTCCAAACTATCTTTGTCATTCAACCCAGGGACCTCATAGAGATCACAAGGTAACGTCTCCGTCAACGACTTGTCCCGTGTCGTGATAACGATCCTGCTTCCCTTCTTAATCCAATCGCAATTCTTCAGCGGTTCGATCTGTTTCTGATCAGTCACATTATCGAAAACAACCACAATTTTCTTCTCGCGTAGCTGTTCCTTCCAATTTTCAAGCACATTGCCACCCTCGGATCCTGAAGTTGGATAATCTTTCTTCAACAAATCTTCCACAATTGTCTTCTGCACCCATTCCAATCCCTGATACTTGGATCTCTCACTATCGAACTGGATAAACACGTGACGGACAATCTTCGTCTCAAGCTTGGCCAAGAGTTTCTTGGCGAGATAGGTTTTACCGATCCCAGGCATCCCAACGACTGCGACAATACGAGTTTCGTTGTCATTGCAGTCAACATCCAATTTCTCTTCCAATTGCTTAAGACGTTGTTCTCCTGATTCAGTTCTGCTTAATGCTCTGCTATGAAATTTAGGGATTTCTTCTCCTCTTCCTCCTCCCTGTGACGGTGGTGGTGACCTAGTGTCTTCTTGACTTTGCGGCGAATTTCGTGTTAAGGCATTCTGAACAGTTATGACAATCTTTGCCAGAAAAGCCATTTCCTCACTGTAAAAAAATATACAATTTGTTTTTCTTTTATGCTATGTATTTTCAAATTTTTAACTTCAAAAAAATAAACTATTTGAATATCTAATTTATCAAATGGGGACATCCAAATAAAACATAAAACATAAATTCGCAATCTTAAATTATATGAGCTAACATTATAATCTATATATATATTTTTGGATCACAATTAGCAAATAAATCCTGAAGTTGAGAAATATTTACAATAGCATGCCATTAGCATTAATTATTTAATTTCGAAAATTTAAATCAAAGATATTAATTACCAAAAAAATCTTAACATAATATCTTAACCATAACTAATCCTTTCCATAATATCTTAAAGATATTAATTAATTTTGACAAAATCAATTTTTTTAAGTAATTCATTTTTTAAATATATTTAATTTAATGTACATTCATTAAATTATGGTTACTATTCGTTATTTGACAAACTCATTTTGCTATATTACTTATTATAAACCAAACTCATTTTGGCTATAAATAATTTGTTTAGTTATAAATTAGATTAACTCCAAAAAAACATTATTACCAAATATATAAATATTATTTATGTCTACGGAATACTATGTTATTTTAGATTATTATTATTTCATTAGGTTTCAAATATTATGAATATTTTAACTTTATAAGAATTTTAAATATTATTAATTTTTAACTTATAAGAAATTTAAATATTATAAATATTTAAATTTTATAAAACTTTAAAAGTATCTGTAATATTTCAATTCTATAAAAAACTTTATCTATTAATAACATTTGAACTCTATAAAAATTATAAATATATATACTATAGAGACAATTTAAAAACAAACTTTTAAATGAACTCTAATTATATGTCTTCTAAATAAAATTATTATTAAAAATAAAAATAACATGATGTTTAATTTCACGGGACGAGATTATATGGTGTGACGGGTTTGTGTCGATATTAATACGGAACGATATACTACGAGTGAAATCTTAGAATTAACAACCAAAATACAATTATGAAGTTTGGGTCGATATTAAAACTTTTATGAAGTTTCAAGTATTATAAATATTTAAACTTTATAAGAATTTATAAGAAGTTTAAACATGTAAATATTTTAAGATGATAAAACGTTTAAAGTATTTATAATATTTAAATTTTATAAAAAGTTTATAATATTAATGATATTTGAACTCTATAACAATTAAAATATATATATATATATTTTGGGAGCCATTTAAAGCAAAATTTTTAATTGACTCAAATTATATATGTCTTTTAAATTAAAATATTATAAAAAACAATAACAAAATAATGTTTAATTTCACGGGACAGGGTTATATGGTATGACGGGTTTGAATCAATATTATTACGAGGCGGTACTACGAGTGAAATCGTATAATTAACTATCAAAATACAATAAATGCTAAACAAAATAAATTCAACTTAAAATTTCAATATTTAGTTATCAAAAATCGATCTGCGGGTTTAATGCGGGGTAATATATATAATAAGTACATTTAAATCAAACAAAGCAATAGATAATTTTCAAAAAAATTATAGCTCCGCGGTGTACCGCGGGTTAAAATCTAGTATGTAACAAAAAAAAATCTATTCATCCCAAATGAAATTGGAATATTTCTTTGCTTTTTTTCTCATTTACTTAATTTGTTTCCATTGCCATTCACTAGATGTTTATATTTCTTGTTTATTCAACTGCTATAGACTATAAAAGTTTTTAAAAAAGGTTTCAATTGGCATTCACTATATGTTTTTTTTTCTTGTTTAGTTAACTGATATAGACTATAGTTATTGGATTTAATATGTTTTAACCAAAATATATTAATTCCTTATCATCTAAAACACAAAATTTTACTAATCCAAACTATTTTCTTGATGTGCATTATAGAAGAGAGCTTGTTTATAAATTATATATCTTCTAGTGGTATTATAGTAAGATATTTCAAATGAGTTGTCATCATATTATATAATTTCGACTTAATACCCTTTATCAAAAAAAATAAAAATAATAATCAACCTTATATTAGTGAGCTACTCCCTAAACCCTAAGAAGATATCTATAATTACATACTAGTTTACTTGCTTGTCTTTGTTCATTTTCGTTATACCAAAGATTAACTACTAAATGCTGGAAACATTATTCTTATAAAAGTAAAATGAAACATTTTTAAGAAAATTTCAAACGATTATCCGTACCTGCTTTCTTTCAATATTAAAGCTGTTTTGTTCCGGGCATCCTGCAAAGCCGCGTTCCACTTAACAATCCGGTCGTCTCGAACACCACCTGGCTTCGTCCACAGCTTCCATAGATTAACACCAAAATCACCATCAAGTCCTTTCACAATAGATGTGTCAAGCTTGTAGAAGATTGGAATGACCCAGAGTTTTTTGCATCCTTCCCCTTTTGAACTACATTCCATTATCTTCACCAGCTCGTCCAAACACCATTGTGACTCCGTGTACTTGCTCGATAAAATCGCCAGCGCGATCTCCGACTCCTCGATCCTTTTGAAAAGGTTTTCAAGATCTTCGCCCGGATCCTCATCTGAGTCAATAAAAGCATTGATCCCGACATTTCTCAATGCTTCATGGAGATGGGAGACGAAGGGTCTACGCAGCTCTTCTCCTCGGAAGTTGATGAACACTTGTGGTCCTTTGTTGACCTTGGACAAGAGAGATGTTGACATCGTAACTTTTTGGATAACTTTTTTTTTTAGAAACTGTAGTTACTTTTTTTTTTTTTTTTGGGTCAAGCTGACGGAATTTGATGTCACTTAGATTGTATCTTTTGCTTGCTTGTCTTTGTTCATTATCGTAAAATTGACGTCCGGTTATTTATATCTCTACGCAATTCTAAAGACCGCGTTCTTCTTCAAGACTTAGCACTCGTGAATAATTCGTTCTTAAAGACAAGTTCTCATCACAACGTAAATAATTTATTCTTGAAGAAAAATTCCAACTCAAGAACTTAAAGATTACACCACTTGGTTTACTCTTTAATTCCAATTTGAGAATATATTTTTTTCTCTATGACCCGTGGAATTTGTGTCAAGTAGCGACGTGCCAGAGACGGAGGAATGAGAAGCACAACTCGGCCGACTTCAAGACTAAATATAAAGTAATTTGGTAATACCCTTAGATTTAGTATTACCAAGTGGTGAACTTAATACCATTCTGAAAAACAATTTAATAAAACTTCTATTGTATCAATTAGATTACATAATGAATTAGCTTTTTAAATTTATATAGTGAAAGAATTATTTTATATAAAATAAAATTAGACTATAAAACATGACTGTGGTATATAAATTGGATCAATTTTTTGATATATATATATATCCAAAAATATCCCTCTCATTACCTTGTTTTAATTAGTATAGATAGAAAACGGATAAAAGGGAAAACGTAACGTGGGTCTAAATTTTTTATATCATTAGATAAACATAAGAGTAATTTGATCTTTTGTTAGTATCTTTTTTTTTATTCAACAAGATATGGCCTAGATTAATAATTTAGTTTTTTGGATTTTTTTCATAATTTTCGCAAATTATTTAATATAATAAAATTGATAGGTTAGCACTTAGCACCGTCGGTTTTTCTAGATCGAATTCGTTCTGTTTTTTCAAGTTTTGGGTTTAATTATAATAAAATTCAGATTCGGTTAGAAATTTGGTTAATAATGATTATTTAAATGTAATTCGTTTTTATTTTAGTACATCTCAATTTAAATTGAAATATTAATTTTTAATGAAAGCTTATTCGGTGCCATGAAAATAGTTTGGTGTAGAAATTTATGTACTTTTATATTACTACAAATTTGGTATGGTATCATGTTAATATATTTGTGTGATCGAACCAAATAAACCTTGTATTTACTCGGTCCGAGAAACTATAATTTGTTGTGTTTTTATCAAATTTGATTGGCTGCAAAAATTCATTGTTAAGGTTATTAGAAATAAATGTTTAGGATTATGAAAAGTAAGTTAAACATTCATCCGAAATTTTAGTTCTAGAACATTGGGATAATTGATTATTGTCTTGATAATTTGCCTGAGTTGATTTGATGACTTTGAACTATGGATATTTCCTGAATGGCCAAAATTTGTTTTAACTAATTATTCATATTCGTTAACTCGCTTTGACATTTATGTAATTTATTTTACTCGTAGGTTCGTGTAGATTAGTCGTAATACAAAAAACAAAAATTGCAAAAAAATTACGTTAATGTTGTAGCTTGATTCTTTCCTTGATTTATTGTCGCAACTATCCATGGGATCGATACCTTAGGTACTTGGAGCATAGTCATGTGTACTTATCTAAGATTTTATTTAATTGATTTGTTTAGTGACAAACTAATGAGCACACATCATATCACTTGTCTTATAATCCACACCACATTAGACCACATAAAAAGCAGCTTTTAGTCCTTGATAGTGTTCGATATTGTAGCAATTAACCTTGTAATGGAAGTACATTTTGCCACTGATTTCCCAATAGCAAACACATTTTTTCCCAGTTAGGGTGAAAGCTGCAAGAGAAGTAACAAGAGTTTGATCACAAAACGAGACCAACGTGGAGGAACCAAAAAACAGGAAAGACAGAAAATTCATTGGATATTGATATTCCAAGATAAAATCATTGTCCAAAAGAGGAAGGAAATATGGGGTTTAGATATTTAAAGGCTTTTCATATATTGTTCTTTTGGGGAAGCAATTATGGGAAAGATAAAAGAAACCCATTCCTTGTTGGCCGGAGTCTATAAAGGGAGATATTTTTAAGTAATGTGTCTTCATCTTGAAGGAGGACTAAAAACTTGTATTTCCTTTGCATGGAGAAGTATTCATGAAGCTCAAGTTCGGATGAAAGAAAGTTGTAGACGAGAGATGGGTAATGGTCAACTCTGAGACTACATAAAGACCCATGGCTTTCATCCAATCCTCAGTTCCCCTTACTATAAAAGAGGGATTTGATCCGAAGAGCATTCACTTATCTATGCTACATGATCTAGAGTGAGATAAGTGGAACATATACGAAGAGGAGGGTGTGTCGCTCATAACAAAAGTTAGACATGGGCGAATAGAGGCAACATTAGATTTCTTTTAGGTTCCAATAGTAATGGAGATATTTTGTTAAGTCAGGATACTAGATATAGCCCACACGGTTGTTGTCTACTGGTAAGGGAGAATTGGGAAAATGTTGGAAGGAACTAACTCAGGTTAGATCCACCTTGAAAACAAAAATCACATTTGTGTGGAAAGTCTGAACTTAGGCTTTGGCGCAAGCAATTCACATGGTATCCGGGATTAGGCTAACTGGATACCCCCATGCATTAGTCGGAAAGTATTCCAAACTCGAGGTTAGGCAGTGTGTTAGTCCAACACCTAGGTGTTGGCGACGAGTCCACACATGGTAGCACTTCGGTGCGTTCCTCGATCGGGTATATCAGAAAAAAAAGAAAAAAAAAAAAAGGATACTAGATATAGATACACATGAAATAATCAAGGAGAGTGTTTCTAAAGAAGAAAAAGGTTTGAAACTGCCTTAATCCTCTTTAGTCTTTACCATGAAGTTTTACAACTAAGTCTTAATCCTCTTTACCATGTTGTATGGACAGTAAAACCTTACCCATAGGCCATAATCAATAATTTCTTTACCATCTAACAATTTCTTGTGTTGTCATGATCTATATATACATTTTTGAAGACATTTATGAAATAAATCATGGAGTTGGCACTTGTATTTACAATGTATGCCACTGGTGGGTCAGATCAATTTAAAGATTTTGCACCGGAAATATTGAAACAGATCTTTCCTTATTTCTGCAAAATATTTGTTAATATCCAAAACCAAAAACTACTATTAACTGGATTTTATACAACTGATCGAAATTTTAGAGTACGTGCATCACTTACTATTTACACATTTTTTTTTTGAAAAACGTTTAATGCTGAAAATATTTAGTTTAGGTTTTGGAAAAAATAACAATTTGAAATCAGTTCGACTCAATTTAGCAAAAACTAATAAACAACTAAAATAAAATTTATTCCAATATAATTCATAGTTTTTAGTTGTTTATAAATTTTAGTTGTTTAATTATATAATTCTCTAGATATTCAAAAATTTTAAATTGCCTATTGTCTAGATATTTCGTTGTTTAAAAAATTTGTTGTTTAAATTTAATTGTTTAAAATTTTAGTTGTTTAAAATACTTTTAATTTCACGGGACGGGGTTAGATGGTGGGACAAGTTTGGATTGATATTAATACGAGATGGTATAATACGGGTGAAATCCTAGATATAACAATCAAAATACAATTATATCATCTTAAACACTAACAAAACAAACAAAAATATATATTTTAAATTTTTTAGTTATAAAAAAATCGATCCGCGGTGTACCGCGGGTACCTCATACATAGTAATTGTACACTAAATATTATATAGATATAAGAGTTATACATTTAGAAAATTCAAAACATTAGGTCATATTTATAGTTAATCTACTAAAAAATTACATTTTGTTTTTTTTTTTGTAAATATAGCCCCGCGGTGTACTGCGGGTTAAAATCTAGTACTAGTTATTTGATGTAGGTTTTTTACTCTCTCTCTTTTTTAACCTTGATAACAAAGATTCGATTTGATATATAATTTGACGGTTGGTGATCTTTTAAGTTAAATTGATTTTATGGGCTAGCATATATTTTTCGATCCATATATACATTTTCGAAGTACAGAGAATTCCATTAACATTAATTATTTAGATTTACAAAATGAAATCAAAGATATTAACATAAAAAAAACTTTCCAAAAATCTTAACATAATATATTAACCATAATTAATATTTGCCACAATTATATCTATATTCAATTCGATTTTCTTAAGAGATCTCAACAATCTCTACATTTAATTGTGGCCATTCAAATCTTAATCCTGTTTTTAATCTTCAATCTTGACCATCGATCATACGTAATTAATTCAGAAATTATTATATAGAATTAATTATTATTAACTAAAATTTAGAAATATATATATATATATATATATATATATAAATCATACTTTTAAATATAATGATTTATATGTCTTTTAAATAAAATATTATTTTAAATAATAAAATGATGTTTAATTTTGCGGGACGGGTTTGGATCGATATTAATACGGGAACGGTATATATATCACGGATGAAATCCTAAAATTAACAATCAAAATATAATTATACAATCTTAAACACTTAACAAAATAAAAAATATTCAAAAAACAAATACAACTTAAAATTTAATTTTTTAGTTAAAAAAATCGACCCGCGGTATACCGCGGGGTAAAATCAAGTGTAAGAATAAATTTGCAAAAACAAAAAAAGGTTATTTGCAGGGTTTACAAAAAAAAACTTAAGAAAAACAAGTAAGATGCTATAATCAGAAGTTTATTAAGTGATCATCCCTTATATATTAATTGAGAAGCATTTAAAAAAAATAACCTTACCCTCACATGTGATTAACAAAAATGCCATGATGACGTGTCGAGTTTATAGAGCTCCTTAACCCATTTAATTAATTGTCCATCCTTTACTATACTATTTACATTAATTTGCCATTGATATTAATAACACTTATTTTACTCATTAATTAATCCAAAAAAAATTACATCATCCATTATATTGGTTACCACGAGTCCACTTAATTCAAA